CAACCACCGTACGAACCCGTTCGACGGACGACAGCGGGCCAATCGAACTGCGACAGTGCTGCAGGTGATCCTAGCAAGCTGATTGTATTTACACCTTCCTCAACTACGTCAACCTGAGTTGACTTTATCTGAATCGCCGGCAAATGGCCAAGATGACCTATAGGGACATCTAGGGCAAATTGAGTAGACAAACGGTACGTGCACACCAGCGTGTAGTTCGTAGAGGTTATTCGTCACAATAAGCACGATATGCTTGTTAGCCAAATGGAGCTAAACGTGCATTGCACCTGAGTATGTACGTACTAAGACGAACTGCATCTATACTCGGTATCTTGTGAATTCATTAGCAACGACCGACATTCAGGCGTAGGCTACCAAAATCGAAACCGCATCCTACTGTTGCATGTTCCCAAGCGCTACTCTCTTCTTTTTGTTCTTTGTTTTCTTTGTTGCTTTTGTTACCGCCGTAACATCATGGCGTTCCTCTCTCGTGCCTGAGAACTGGTGTCACGCTTTTAGAGTGAACTGGTTGTCCTGGCCGTCTCGATCTTGCTGGTGAGAGTGTGCCGTATATGTTTAATTATCTCTAGCTATCCTCAGCCATTTTGTCCCACCTATTGGCCTTTGGCACCCTCAGTGACCTCTTGCAATCGACATAGACGACAATTTACGACCTCATTGCCTTTTTCTGATAGCGCACCGGCAACTCCGGAAGCTAACCTGTAGACAGAGCCCCTACAGCAGCACAGAGTAGTACTAAAACACGGGAGTGCCATACATGTAATGCGGTGGAGCACCATTGCGGGCAATACGGACACGGCGTCAAGCGCTTCTTTTCTTTGTATCGTTTTATCCTTCTAGTTTGCTGCTCGTATTTTCGTACGGGAAATGGCGATATTATTGGTCATTTAGGTGAACAGATTCATCGTCCACTGCAATGCATGTGGCTACCATATGCTATCATCTGCTAACTGCTTTATAACAAGCAAATCCCGTACAACCACCTGTTTGCTTAACAGAGTTATAGATCTCGCACTCCAGCCAACTTAAAAGCCCTGTACTATTCTGTTTTTCTCGGTCTGATCTCCAACTCTCATCAGACCTCGGATCATCTCGACAGAGCCGCTGTCACCGTTGTTATCATCGCCCCTTTGAGACAGCTTCAAAAATCAGATGTCCCCAACAAACCAGCACCGAGCACCAATAAGCGGATTATATAACCAGCGTACGATAATCTTCGGTTAGGACCATGTCTTCTTTGTGTAGATGCGTCTACCTAATTCATTTGGAGGGCTGCAGCGGCGCCACGAAGGTAGTAGCGGTAATAGTATTCTTTCGCCATTACTGGTCTTCGGGGACCCGTTGCGCAAAGCAGACGATGACACCCTTGGCGACGTCGTATGAGTCGTATTGCTATGAAAACGGTACGTGACGCTTTGTCAACGATGCACCTCTTTTCATATTGTTAGGGCCGACTAACTAGTAAGAACAACAATCTTTCGTGATGTACAACGCAAATCGACGTTGAAACGAGAAAAATTGTATTGCAAACTGTAATATGGAAACGATTTTAATATTTTAATACCACTCAAACTCATCATACTACTACCATTATTAATTGTGAATTTATATTTAGAGGAAAGTTTCTTCCCGAACATTAGGATTTGTATATGTAATACATTGACCTGAATTGACACCTTAGTTGGTGGCGGTCTAAAATTTATATTCGGGTACTATTAAAATACATAGTGCAAAACTTTTGTATATAAACTTCAGCCTCCCCAGATTTGCCCATCAACGATTGAACAGTAATAAATAGACCTTGTTAAACTGCTTACTTGACTATAAGAAAGTCGTAAGTATTTTTAGCTAAATCGATTGATGAGGTACTGCTAGGACAAGTTGTAGGATCCCTCCAATATAGTTCCAACCCGTGCATCTTCGAGCTAATAGACACCTTACAAATCTACCTCGGCACTTTATGCTGACGGTACCTTTTTCAGGCTTGAGTACTTAAGGTGCTTCAAAAGGCACCTTCCAAGATTCTTAACCACATTATTGAGTACATATGGTATTACGGCAATGAACTTGTATCATAAACACTTCTGATAACGATTCCTGAAACTACCCCCAGCTTTATGTTAATGCGGTTTTTGTTTGATTTATATATTTATGTAGGCTCTTATCGGGCCTCGTATCAACATATACGATCATACGACTTGCTGTGGACTGTAGCTGTGTTATCTTGAAGAAATTGTTTTTGGGGTGGCACCAAAAGCGATTCCCTTTTCAAAGGATAGATACCATTCACTCAGAACAAAAAGCTAATCCGTATTGGTCCTTGTTAGTAGCATTCACTCTTAGGTTACTACACCCAGTAATCATCACCATATTTACCACGGCAAAAGAGTGTGCATTTCCGTTGAATGGTACCTTACTTACGTGCAGTTAGATACTAAAACAACATAACCAGACAAGAATTAAGCTGGAAGACTGCGGAGTGCATTCAGACGAGTACGACAATACTCATGGCTACCCTAATCGTCATCAGCGTTCGTTATGACAATGCGCTGAGTTACCGTCAGGTTGGCAGTAAACGGGCTGTGCATGAAGAACGCTACCATAATGCAGCCAACTCCTACGTTATGGTACTAAGGGTAAACAATAGAAGACAGCTGATCGTACACAAGATTCGTTTTGTTTCTTAATGATCTCGCGGAGTAGCAACGTAATTCAAACGAGCAGGTTCAGGATATATTTGGTATTTATGTTTTATTTTCTGTGTTTACCTCATAAGCATTGTACAGTGGGAAACCAAGAACACGACTTTTCCTCTGGCAATTGTTCGCTTGGATTTTCACGTAGGGAGCACGTCCTTACGTGCTCCTAGAGCCAGGCAACGAACGTTTCACAGCAGCAATCTCTGCAGCGTTTTTTGTTAACAATCAATATGGCCCCAGGCCACGTAACGCTACTTAGCAATTCGCGAGTCCGCAATTCTCTAACCTGTTTACAATTTGTTGTAGTCGTCGTCGCTATTTTACGCTGATTGATAGCTGAAACCTTACCGAAGTCCCGCTATACACGTACGGAAAAAGCTTCGTTCCACGCTGATGGAATCCTAGTGACTTAACGTACGCTAATTTCTTCCAGTGTGACTCCGGTGATTTCAGAGTTTGCAATTGATCTAGACGATATCTCACTACGTTTGTTCAACTGAAACGCTCGCTCGGGCTATCGCTCGGGGATGCGCATCTGTAATCAGCCTACTTTAAACCCAACTGGCAGTTGCCCAAGGCTTCATTTGGGTAATACAAATCTTCAAAAAAAAAATGTACGGTCGTGTTGTATGCGTCTAGCTCTAGCTCGCCCAGCTATTTGTTGGTTTTACCAAGTTTATGTTGTGATAAACAAATAGTAGATACAATCATATATTGTTGTATAGGAGCTTCTTGTAAAAGAACACTCAAATATTACGGAAAATAAAATATACTATCATGAAAAAGGCATTTAAAAAAGGTATTTGTTCGCCTTTTTGCTTTCACGGTAGTGCCTTTCGCATCACTGCGTCAGTAAATTCAAACATTTATATGGACTAGTACATTCTTAGTAGTAACGACACTGTTTGTAGTGCTGTTAATTAAGATTATTTATGCTGGGTTAAAAGCCGGGCTCTTACGAGTCGTCCTTAAGTCTGACCGTCGGGGCTAAGCCTCACTCAGGGCAAAGAGCAACCTTCACCCTACTTCGATGTTGGCCTGTAGGCAAAAGCAAGGCTGTACGCGAAAGCAAATTCCACACAATAGATTTTCTCTTCGCTACGTAAAAATTACACCACAATAAAAAATCAACATTCGGTTTAACCATACGCAGTCAAGTACCTCAGAAATCAACGACACAAATGAGAACGCTAGCCTCTTATCCGTGTCATATCCGAGCAGCGCTCAGAGAAACATCCCAAACTGAAGGCCCATTAAGACTTTTCCCCGTGGGGGCTTTTTGCTGGTGATCAACAGCATGAAATCACGTTAAAAAAATTGCATCCTGCATCACATGAAGCGAGTCTCCTTAATTTTAAAACTAAAGCATTTTTACTATCTTCCTTTCTCTCCTAATTCCTTGATTCCCCTCAGCTTCAACGCTGTTACACTAGAACAATGATATTCGTGCTTAACTAATTTTCAACAAATGGATATAGAGTAAACGCTAATGGATCTCACTCTGAAATCGATGTCATATCTCGATTACACACAATTTTGCAACATTGCTGAACTTCACTGCAAAAGTTGAGCTACACATAACCTTGTTACTTCCGGTGGTGATTTGCCAGCTGCACATACATACGCCATGACACCGACATGTCCCAAGTTTGCGGGCATGCTGCAAACCTTACTTTTGAGCGCGTCACTCTAATGAAACCGATCTAACGGAATGTTTCGTAGCATCGCTGAAAAGCAATACGTTATCCTCGCTTGTAGGCCAGAAAGGCTCTTCAAAGATGCTGGTTGGCCAAGCTGAACGCGAGCGATTGTCTGAGCGATTGAAAGATCAAACAGAAACAGGCTAACAAACAAAGGCTGTCACAGTTTTAATGACGTCATGTGATCAGAGATTTGCAGTGACGTAAGCTCACTGGTAATAACAGTACACATACCATGCTTGCGCCTTGAATAAATCACAGACAAGCAAACGCATTGATATCCTTTATGGACTTGCGCTTTTTCCAAGCTACATCATTATTTCGCCAAAATCACTAACTACTAATACGATTGAGCTGGCAATTGAAGTGGAGAAAATCTTGGTAAAAATATTCAAATAACTATTTAGCGGCGTACAAGCCACTAATAGCAATCATTGAAGGTGTGGATTTTTGCTGATTTAATTTTTAATTTGATACCGATCTGCAAGCGTCGCGTCGTCCACGATCTGAATTCTGTCCTGCATCAGCGATAATCTTATTTTTGCTAATAGTGGTATCGGAAATCCGGGCACAGATTGTTGTATTCGCTCTGTAAAAAATTACTGTCATCTGCTTACTTTATCTACGAGTCCATATAAGAGTGCCAATAGTTCAGCGCCGTACGCTTGAGCGGCAATACACACAAGTTGTTTATCGAGAAGTGTAGATCTACGTACGTCGTATCTGACCACTACGTCGCCGCGCCTGCTCTTTTCATCCTAATTGATATTGTTCCGGATTTGTTAAACACCTCAGCGAGTCATAGATAGGCAGGACAACCCAACACAGAAATACTGAACATCGTTGCCAACACGGTGCACTTAGACGCCAGCAACGTCTGATGGCGGCCATCTCCGCCCAGTCGTTCTTCGAACGCGAAGGGATACATTCGCAGAATGTAGAAGAGTACTTCTTACGTGGGGGTGGAGTAAACGAAGAATACGAGGTTGTGACTATATCGTCAACTGATAACAACGCCGTAAGGGAGGAGGTTCGCGATACAGACGCCTATAGCGGGTCTCTCTTGTCTCAGCAGCAAGACAAGTCTGGTGGTGCTGAGGTCTATAGCACAGTCCGGACGCTTCGCGGGGCCGGAAACGTCGCCGCGGAATACTACAGGACCGAGGCAGAGGCCGAGGCAGAGGCCGAAACCGAGGCCGAAACCGAAGTTGAAGGTGCCGAGTACTATGCGAACGCCGACGCATGCACTGGCACGTATGCAGAGTATGCAGAGTACGCGGAGACTGCGGACGTCGACTCATCGGCTGGCCACGATGATCACACAGAATATAATAGGCTTAGAGGCGGTGCCGGGGCAAATGAGTATGAGGTAGCCGACGTGGAGGAATATGATGCCGGATTGGAGACTGAAGAGTTCAGCACTGCAGGAGCGGAAGAGTATGGTGCCGCAGGTGCCGATGAGGACGGCAATGAAAATGCAGGTCGGCAAGATCCCGGATTGCGCGGTGGCGCCGGATACGAGTATGCTGCATATGACGCAGAAACAGTAGACGCGGATACAGACGCCGACGCGTACACTACCGGCGCGGACGAAGGTCGTGCAGAGGAGAATGGTTACGGTTTAAGAGGTGGTGGTGGCGTTGAAGAGTGCGGAGCAGCAGAATACAGCTATGCTAGATATGACGAGGAAGGACAAAACACATACGGGGCTGGCGCGTATGATGAGCATGCAAGCTCCTACGAAGGACAGATTTACGACGATAGGCACGCAGAGGCTACAGAGAGGTACGAACATGGAGCTGGAAGTGAAGGTACCTGCGCGCTTCGTGGCGGTTCGGCGGAGGACGCCTCAGCTGGGATTGAGGAGTTCGCAACAGCGGCAGACTCCAATGAGGACGAAAATGCTACTGAGGCTGAATATTATGAGACTGATGGCCCCGTCGACGGTCCTGCGGACCCGAACGGGGTATACTGGGGCCTTCGTGGTAGTGGAGCGATTGAGGTTGCTACTCCTCCGGAGCAAATTCCAGTCGACGAAAACGGAAACGTCGTTGGGGCGTATGTCGTTCCGATGTATCCAGACGTGGGAGGGCAGTACCAAACGTATCAGCAGGACCAGGGAGGCTATATCGTTCAGGTAATGCAACCAGTGATACAACCTGTGATGCAAGAGGCTGTCGGTCAACAGCCTATAGTTTACACTATTGATACAGAAGCAGCGATGGCGGCTTACCAACAGCCTGCCATCGATGGATCACACACGGCGGGACAAATCAGCATGGTGATTGATCTCAATGCGATTGCCCAGGCTGCACAGAATGTACAGATCGATGCAAGTGGCCAACCCGTGGTCCTATCTATGATCGGAGGACCACAAGGGGGTATTGCAAATCAGATCGTGCCGATGGGCGTTCCCATAGGGGCACCACCGCCACCACCGCCGCCACCACCGCCACCGCCACCACCGCCGCCTCAAGCAGAACCACAACTATCAGACCCGCAACCAGCACCATCAGCAGTAGCACCATTATCGCAACCAGCACCATCAGCAGTAGCACCATTATCGCAACCAGCACCATCAGCAGTAGCACCATCAGCAGTAGCACCATTATCGCAACCAGCACCATCAGCAGTAGCACCATTATCGCAACCAGCACCATCAGCAGTGGCACCATTATCGCAACCAGCACCATCAGCAGTAGCACCATTATCGCAACCAGCACCATCAGCAGTAGCACCATTATCGCAACCAGCAGCGCCGCCAAAAACATCACAACCACTTAAATCATCTTCATTATCATCAGCACTGCCCCAACCACAGTCTCTGCCTCCAGCAAAAAATTCGGCTCCACCTCTGGCGAAAAGCAAGGCCTCAGCAATTAAGACCTCCAAGGTCAAAGCCTCAATCCCGCCAGTTAAAGCTAAAGGTCAGGAAAACGCCGCGATGAAAAGCGTGGTCATGGCGAAGGTGGTTACAGGAAAAACCAGTGTGAAGGACGCGAAAAGCAAATCTGTTGCCTCGAAGGCTAAGAGCAAGATTATTTGAATATCGTCGAAAGGATTGGTCGTGACCGGCCTTTGCTGCTGAGATAAAGATGCATGCAAGTGAGTCAGGCCTCCATTGTCATATCGTCGCGAGTACTTGCGAACAAATAAAAACATAAACCGATATTTGGGATAAATATTTGTGTTCCTTTGGTAGTGGAAAGGACAGCGACGGGGGCACTTGTTAACCTTGCCACAGCGGCAGTGAGAAGTAACGTAGTTGTACCTTGCCACAGCGGCAGTGAGAAGTAACGTAGTTGTACCTTGCCACAGCGGCAGTGAGAAGTGACGTAGTTGTATCTTGCCACAGCGGCAGTGAGAAGTGACGTAGTTGTAGGTTCCTCATGGTCATAGCCACGCTGGTCGAACGATTCGAGTGCCCGTCCGTCCTGGATCAGGTCAGGAATGTTTCCTTCGTCAGATGCTACACGAACGCTTGATATCCGCACGGAAATGCAAACAACCACGCAGCGGACGTACATGCTCTATCATATATGAAAACTTGTACACTCCTGCGTATATGAAAACTTGTACACTCCTGCGTATGTTATGCTATTAATGCTTACTATGCTATTAGATAAAATTTAAAATCTTAAAAGTACACTCCTGCGTATGTTATGCTATTAATGCTCACTATGCTATTAGATAAAATTTAAAATTATGTAGAACTGTAAACACATCCTGTGTGGGTGAAAATTGAGAGTAAGTAAAGGTAAGGTGATGACGCTGGCTCACCCGTGAAATCGAACTTCTGAAAATCAAGCCACGTTTAGCAAAACTGGAATGATACGCGAAGCGAAGATTGCGACCGTCGCAGTTTTCCCTTTTGCGAATTTCCGTTCGGGTATTCGCAGCACCTCCGGGAATCCGTACGCCCATGCTTTAGTGGCGTTTGGCGGAAGAGCGGCACACGTCGGCTGATTTCGGTTATATAGGCTGTATGCCACAAAGCAAGGGGGCTACGGAGCTTCGTTAGAACTCTGCTTGTATTTTTTTCGATCGAATATGATTCTCAATCCGCTTACTTGACGTTGGCTCTGTTTGAAACGGCGGCGAAGCGACCATTTCCAGTGCCGTTTCCCACTTTGAAATGTTTCTCTCCATCCTCTGACGGCCTTCAGTGCGACTAGCTATTGCTTATACACACGGCCCATTAGATACTACCAAGTCATAAGCTTTCTCGCATGGTTGGCTTCTAGGCAATCGGTGTGTTGATGGCGAGCAGACTTCAGACTTTGGCTTCCATGCGTATACCTTCTGCTGCATCGACGCCAGCGATAACGATGCGATACATCCAGGACCTATTGCCCCTGGTGCCGCTGGAGACGTGCACGTGCTGACGCCTTTAGCAGTGCAGGAAGAGGTGGTGGAAAGTGGAATCGCGAAACGAAAATTCGAAAGAAAGAAAATCGCCTTCACCGCCGTGGCGATCTTGTCAATAAACGAACTGCAATGAACAGAAAGAGCTGGCCGCTCCACGCAAAGGAAAACCTGCATTTTGCTCGGTTAGGAAACGGACCCGACGATCAATGAGAGTTGAGACGCAGAAGGCCAGTAACGGTGAGCAGCCAATCTGTAAGCTTAATTTAACCGCTTAGGTGCATATCACGTGTGGCAAAACGATGCTTGGCCCACGAAAATTTATGGAGCGAGAAGCATCGGTGGACTTTGGAAAAGGCAAGGCGAGCGTTAGCGGTCTGCTAAAAGTTCTCGGCCGTTTCTGTACGCTAAGAACAAGGATGGAGAAGATGAGGCAGACGAGACTAAATAGCATTTCTAGTTCGCTTTATTGCCAACGGTCGCGCTTTTGAGAGAACGATGTTTGTAAATATAATAGTTCAAAAGATACTGTTCTTTCTGATGGCTGTGAATGGTTCGGATCAATGTGTAACGACTACGGTTTGCATATATATAGATATATGTAGACCGTATATACGTATGTTCTCTCTTACGTTAACTTTTGGTTTTCAGACGTTTTCGCCGATAAAGGCAGAATAGACGTTAGATTACAGTACAGCGTTATTTTCAATCTGATAATAATTATTATTTTCATTATTAGCTGTATGGCTCAGTCTAACTTAAAAATGTTACAAAAGTAACCGATACGAGCGTTATTGTTTGGTTGAATTCGTGACTTTTCTCTGTGCCTCCTTCTTTCTTGGAGATCTTCTCCATGCCGGTGGCGATTGACAACGGAATGCCAAATGGCTCAGCTCATATAACGATCGGTATATTCCGGAACTTCGCCTGAGGTGCACACGTTTGGCTTATATGCTTCGCCGCTTTGTCCCTCGGACTTTATCCTGCATGGCAGGTCTGTAAGCTGCGATTTAGCCCATGTCTCGCAACCTATGCTATTCATTGTCTACGTGCATATATATAGATATGCACGTATGTATATAGATATCTATATATGCGTCTATTTTTCAAGTGTTGCTCGAATCTTACAACACGCGTTTTTGCCTTCGCCGCAGATATTTAGTAACGTCGTATAACACTTTTCGTTCGATTGCCATTACATCATTTGTATCTCGCTTAAAGAGTATACATAGTAAAATTGCGTTTAATCTCTGATTCATTTTTATTGCTAACACGAGCCTATCGTAAGGGCTTGCAATAAATAATTACCTTTTTTTAAATAAACCAACGCTATGTTATGTAGTTCTTCGTTTTACTCAGCTCGTTCAGCTTCTGTATCACGCTAGCGGTACTCTCGCACCTGCGACTTCTTCAATACAATTTGCGGTCAAGGTAATACGGCCGCTTATTGGAATCTAATGGATCACTGAGATAAAATTACTTGCTGTTATCTCTTGAAGCTGCCTAGAACTGGTCCTGAAGGACAATGCTGGCTCTAGCTCGTACAGGCGCCTCATCGTCCCGTCTTTGCTTTTGTACCTGCTGGCTGTGGCGTGCCGGTCGAATTTCATTACGTTTAGCTATCCATTATGTCCAACATAATAAGTCACGTAATCCAATGTTGGATCTTGTTTCGATTCTTGCACAAAGGCGAACAAAAAGACGTTTGGCAGAGGAAACTACGTAGCCTTAGCCAGTAACGGTACGTTCTGTTCGGAACCATCGACAAGATAAGCTCGTATAACGGCAGAATGGAACTACATAAACTGAGGAATAGTCGGAGGTCAACCAGGGTCATGACTTGGTGTCAGCTGTATTGAGAGAAAACATTGTGATTTTATTGTTGTAAATAAGGTCTGCCCACGGCGCAAACGAAACTTTTGCTCCACTCATAGAGATCCTAAGAATTGCTGATCCTCCAATTTTATTAAGCTTCAACTAACTGAATATCAGCGGACAAGTTCTATATCTGTCTGATCTCGTCCCTGTTTAAAGTTCGGGCAAGGTTACAAGACGACCCTATTCAATTTTAATAGCTTCGTCAGAAATTTGCTCAGTAAAAGGAAGATCGCTTGTTAACTCCGCTACACCTGAGTTCGCAACCCGAAGCTTAGTTTCACATTTCAAATCATAAAAACTATATGCATAATCATGCGTGCATATAGATGCTCGTCTCTTCAAAAAAAAATTAAAGGACAACCATCCCCGACAAACGATCGGTACTTATAGATGACACTTAATTCTCTTTGGCTTACTTAAAATATATAAGGCAAAACCAAAAACGGTCGAAATTTTTGGGGTGTAATTAAATTTTATTTGGATTCCTTTTATTGTCTCCGGTCCGTTGATAATATCTATACGACAGTTGACGAAGATGTCGGGTGGTGCCGGCCGACTGGCCGGAGCTGCGATCGAGCGTATGCTTTTGACGAATCCTATTACTGAGATATGAGCTGAATATCGTGAATCCTCTTTAGAGGTAAAAAGAAACAATGGTCCATTGCGTCTATTGCCAACCTCTGTCTATATATACACTTGTATGAAAATGCATCCAGCGATTCGACGGTCACCGAATGATCTGATCGCGTTCGAGGCGTTAGCTTTCATCAAATGGTGTAACGTTCCATGTGAGCTGCCGAACTTGGCCTTGCTAAGAATCTCGCTTAGTGGCCTAGATCTATTCGATGTTATTGGTCAGTTCCGAAGCAACTTAACTCAGTTTAGCTGCTGGGAGGGACACGTAGGTTATTTACTATAGTTCCTGCGTAGGCAAATAAAAATTATTACTTTTTTTATACATAAAACATAAACTATTCGTTTATAAACATGTTCTATAAAATTCTCAGAGAACACACCATCGGAGATTATTACAGTGCGACGATGGCGATCGAAAGGCATCGACTCGCTCCCTGACATGAGCGCTAACGGTAACAATAACTGGTCACAATTAACTCATTATTCATATATATAGATATGTTAAATTTTTAGCAAAGGCATTGATACTGACGACCACACGAGTCAGTGTTCACATGGATTAATATTATTTTTTAAAATGTAGTTCGGCCATTTTTCTGCTAAGATAGTTAAGTATTAATGTATTGCACAAACCAGACTCCGCTTCGTAAATATTTCTTTGGCACCCTGAGAGCCTTAGCTGGAGACTGATTCAAATATTACCTGTACAAAATGTAACCTAAAGGGACCGTTAAAGTATTCATGGCTTTATTAGTGCCGCATTCCACCTTTGTTCGCCTAGGTTGAGGCACATTCTCTTCAAATTTCATGAATACAGGGTGACTGTGATGGGTGTTGGTAGACAGCATAAACGTGAGCCGTAATTTTATTACCTAAGCGGTCAAACGGTGCTGCCCATTGGACATTGGTCATGCGGATATTAGATTAGGTTTTTATAGCTGTCATAGTTACTAGTCTGAAGTTGGGCGCTATCGAAAAGAAGAAGGCCGATCTCTGTAATTTACGTTTATCCCAATTAAATAGAATTCAAGTTAGGTCAACTAGGCCAAAAAGTGGTTTGGAGTTTAAAGAGACGTCGGAACATTTTTGTTTTCGATCGAATAGTAACATTTCGTCTCTGCTAAGTAGGCGTGGTATGATGCAAGATATTTTTATTACGAATGATTATAAGAAAACCGTGCTTTATTGACACACACAACGGAAACCCTAGCTTAAACTAGACGTAGGCCCACAAGTATGAACGAAGAGATTGAGAAAGTGCGTCTACATTTAAATCAATACATATATA